TCACTAAGTCCCATCCTCCACTCAGAATGTCTTGAGACCCAAACAAAATGGAACAGAACCCATTCTCCCCGAAATTGGGGTATTGGGGGGGAAGAGGACAAGGCGAGGGGGGTGACTGGCACATGGCACTAACTATCCAAGTGCTCTATATTTTTAGGATATTAGAGAAACATTTAAAAAAATCTATACAAATAAAATGGCTCAGAAAGATCCGCTTCCCTGGGACTATTTTGATTCCAAATCAACAGAAATGGTATCAAACTTAGCTGCCAAGGTGTAATAAGTGGAACATAGTTTTCGGTCCACAATGCTTCACAGGTGTGTTTCTAAAACTGCAGGGAGGGAATAGAAATGGGAAGAGGCCTGAAGGCAAGTCATTATCTACTACCTTCCCCAACAAGTAATGAGAGTCTACCGGAAGTTACATCCTAAAATTGTGGATGAGAAAAGGTCACTGTAAAAACAAAAATCAACTTCAGGTAAGGGAGCTGAAATTTTGAAAAATGGTGCATGACCTAAATTGAGAAGGGTGTGGGTGAGACAAACCCCACTAAAATGACTCTTCCTTTGGAGGGAAACACAGTTTAAAGCACTAAATGTGGCCCTTCTCAGATCTCTGCTTTCTGGCTGGGGAGTAACAGAGGTCTGCTAAATTGTGAAATTAATATTTTAGGCTAAAAGACAATAAGTCATGGAGTTAATTCCTCAGTGAGGTTTTAATTCACCATTCTCTTGTTCAGTTTTAATTTACACTTTTTCCTCTATAAGAATATTTTAGACTAAGACCATCAACTCATAAACTTCCAAAAGGCACTGATTGAAAAAGGGAAGAGAGGGCTGGTTCCAGGTCACAAAAACACACTCAAAAGCTCTATCATATAATCCAAAAGCCAGTATGACTACCAGTCAACATTAGAAGATGCTCACTATGTGCTAACCAATATGTGTCTACCCTAAACGATATGGACAATAATGACACACACTCTGTATTATCAAACTTTTTGTACTGACAAGGAAACAGAGGCTGAAGCAGGCAAATCATTTGCTAATAGCCATTCAGCTTGAATCACTTATATTAAGGCAAATAATTTGTTACAGGGAGAACAGAAGTCAACCCAGATCCAACTGTCATCATTTGGGTAGCTCTTGCTATGCCAATAGGGACTGAACTATAAATATAGTTCTCCCCTGAAAATGGTATGAGGAACAGGACAGAGAAATTTCCCACCTGACTTTTAATTAAGAAATCTGACAATAGCAGAACACATCCTGGTAATAGGGATACTGAAATTTTAACAATCATTAAAGTGATGATTACTCACTTAAATTACAAGAATTGACTCAAGTCTTTCTCTAATTCCAGGGACTTTGGAAAAAGTCAGGAGCGAGTGCAATAAGCATATCATTTATATACTGTCTGCAATTTTTTTAAAAATTTTATAAAATCTAATAAGAAAATTCATTTTTAGTGAGTGCTCTGTACAGACACACTTTAAATTCTTTTGGGTTACCATTATACAAATTATTCTGAAAAAAAAAAAGCCTTGCAATTAAAAAGCTATACTTAATAGCTGTCATCCATTTCCATGTACCTTTTCATTTTAATAAATATGTAGACTAGATACAAGCCACATGGAACAGCTATATTTATCAGCACAGGGGGTTAAAATGAAAAATAAATTTTTTCAGGGCCAGAGAGAGTACAAAGGTTAAGACAGGGGTCTTGCATGCAGTCAACCCAGTTTGATCCCAGCACCAAACTGAAAGGAGTGACCCCTAAGAAGACACCCAGCACCAGGAGTAGCCGCTGGACAACACTGGGTGTGACCCAAACCCACCTTTGCCCCACTACACAGTCACTACCACCATCCATGCAGAAATAATACAACTTGCACACAGCTGACCCCCAAGTTCCATCCCAGCACCATACAGGGTTCCCTGTGCCGCCTGCCAGAGTGATTCCTGAGCAAAGGAGTCCTGAGAACCTTTGTGTGGCCAAAAAAAAAAATTTTTTAAAAAGAACCAACTCCACCCCCCACCCCCACCCCAAAATAACAAGACCAAAACAGACCTCATCCAAACAATTGTAAATTCACCTCTAGCATCTGTCAAACTCCAAACACTCCACCTACTTAGTGTCCACAGCTTAGGCAGTCTTCCTTCAGAGGCTTTTTCCTCTGAGTGTAATCATTTAATTTTTAAGTAAAAATATTTTTAAATGAATTCAGAGTTCATAGCTGCCACTTTGGCAGTAGACTGCCACACAGAGTCGGTGTTAAAAGATCAGATGAAGTCCTTCAGAGGCTCTGGCACCGAGTGATGCTTGCAGCCATGCAAGAGTGATTTTCCATGCCTCTGAAGAGACGGGAAATAGAATTCATCTTCTTCTAATAACCTGCCTCTTTCCCTCCCTCCAGATTACAGCCCATCTGGCCTCAGGGTACGTGTGAGGAGTCTGAGGCTCTGAGTGCCCAGAAGAGAAAACAAGGTGGGCAATGTTCAGACACAAAACATCAGCAGAGCCTGGATTTGACAGGAACAAACATGTCTGTGGCCCACACACTGAAAGATACACACACACCTTAGGAAACTGACAAAAAGAGCAAAGGAAATGCCAAAGTAAATAGAAGCAAAGATATACTCAGAATCAGGGTTTAGAAAATCATGACAGGGGTCATTCATTACACATGATTCAAGAATTTCAACCAAAAAATGTCAAAGTTTGGGGAAAATAAATCGTGGTGACATTAAAATGCTTACCACCCTCCATCCCCCAGTACGAAGCAGAAGAAAAGAAGTTGCCAATATCTCTCTCCAGCCCTGCCACTTTCCTCTACGGGACACAACTGTCTTCACCAATTTATTCCAGTCCTGTCTTGCTCAGCACCACCAGCATTACACTGCCTGGTCCTACTGGGTCTACTCTTACAAACAATGGAACTCACAGGGGAAACCACTAAAAGCAAATCAGTTCCATAACGTCCTTCCACTTCTGAACACAGACCCCCAATTCCTGCAAAAATGCCATGGGAATAAGCTGTACCCATGACTACATAAGGGGTCTGTGTCTACAGAGGCCCCCCTGGGGTAAATTCAACTTTTCCCTTGACTTTGAGAAGCAGGAGACCTCAGCCTGATTATAGCTTTTTAAGTTCCATATTCTCCCAGTTCTCTGTGAAGCAGAGCTGCTTTAAGTAGGAAGAAATACACACTGGTCTAAATAGGATCCAGCCAAAGAGAGCCAAGCTTCTAAAGAAATAGAAATGCAAATAGGCCTTTTGGACTTGCCTTCCCACTCCATCAAATCCAGTCACAAGCAAATCCTGAGTAGAAATAGGTAAATGGGAATACAGTGGGTGGGAGCTTTGTGGTCACAGCTGAAGGTGAGAGACAATGAATCCTTTGTTGTTCAGAGATGCAGAAGAGGATTTGAATTAACTGAGGTCCATGGTTTTTGAATATTAGCACTCACGTGGGATTATATACCCCGTGAACTGTACCCAAAGTATTGAGATCTAACCCTGTTCAGACCAAAAAAGAAGTCACAGAAGCCTCCACAGATTTTTAACACTTGTGCATGCTCAAATACCCAAACATCCATTGGCTGCCTGCTAACGTCAGCACAGGATTATGGGCAGGGAGAGGAGGAAAATGTTCAAGAGAGGTGACACAAGACACATAAAGAACCAATGAGGAGGGGAGACACACACACACACACACACACACACACACACACAATTTTTCTTTTACCTTTGGTCAAATCAATTAACTTAAGGATGTAATGTGGAATTTTGCATTTTTATACTCAATCTGACACTGGGGACTGAAAGGACTGCTGCTGCAGAATTATTCGGTAAAGAGGAATAAATGAGCAACTCCTAGGTGCTGTTATTTCTCCCTACAGACCAGAGTACTTTCTGTTCTGAAAACCTTGGCTTTCAAAGAAACATACAGACGTAATCCTAATGGTGGTCTGTTTTAAAAGGCATCCTTTCCAATGAAACCTTTTATCCCCTTTCACAAAGATGCACTGAATGGGAGTTCCACCTAGGCTCAAAGCTAAATAGTCTCCCATTATGTTAATGAGCTTATAGACAAATTCTATACACCAAGGAGTTTCTTCCAAACCTCTCCTCACACCCCTACATCTAACCAGCATTGCAAAGCACTGGGGCTGCAAAAGATACATTTTCCCTGAGTTTCTTCACAGCTGATCCTACCAGACTGAATGAGGAAGCAGTAATCTGGTAGCAAAGACTCTCTTTCTTGCACTTTCACCTCAACTTTGTAACTACCACAGGCAATTAAGAGAGCCACCACGGACTGGAAATGTATCTCCTCATTACTCCAGGAAATGCATCTCCTCATTACTCCAGGAAATGCATCTCCTCATGACTCCACGTGCACATTGGTGAACACTGTGTTCAGACTCCACTGGTGATGCGTAAGAAAAAGCAAGCAAGCTGCCCGCTGGGCCTTGGCAATGGGTGAAGACCTCCATTCTTCAGAAAATTGCAGTCTCTAAATTCGCTCTGCATGTGTTTTCCCAAATACTCAGAAAGACCCCATCTTGTAATAACAAGGAAGTTTTAAAAGGCAATTAACCAAAAGTTACATTCGCTTACTATTGTAAAACCTGTGTATCTAGTAGGTTCTTTCGCAGACTTTTAGTGCCCAATAACACAAATGTAAAAAGAACTGCTTCTTTGAGGTGAATTTTCAATCCTATTAACGTGCCATTATGACATGGTCATTATTCTCTGCAACACCATAGTCTTATGAAAGCAAATGTAGCATACTAGAAAAGAGCCCATCGTGTAGACACAACTATCATCTCCTAAATAAGTTACAGACGTCGCGGACTACTAACACTGCATCTTAGAAATGAGCAACACAAAACAGCAAGACTGACAAAGCCCAACAGTCAGCTTCCACCATTCCTTTTCCACAAATCACTGCAATGGCACCTTGTGACCAGTGCCTGCATCCAAGTGTCTTACCTCTTGAGACAGGAAAGGAATGACTTGAGCACAAATCGCATTCAGCCTCTTGACAATCTCTGCCTGCAAAAGGGGGCGGGGGGGGGGGGGGGAGGAGGAAAGAAAGCAATAAAGATAACAGTCAGCTGGTTACAAATTCCCAAAATATTAACAGGATATTAAAACACACTTTATATTCTGGCTGGCATATTTCCTAAGGATGAGGAACACTCTCATCAGCAAGCCCATTAAAAGGAGGCAGTGACAACAGTGCCACATTAATAGCACAATTTATTAAGCAGCATTCATCTTAGAGTCAACCTTCAAGCATCAAGACAACATAAAAAGGAATTTAATTTTCATAACTGAGAATCAGTTTTCAAAAGCCTTCAATAGCGTCCTTGTTCCTTTTTTTTTAATAGGACCTTGACTTTTTGGAGTTTTGGTAGTAAAAATACAGTTTTTTTCTCATTTCTCTACTCCTCTTGATTAGTAAAACTCATTGAATTTTTACAATTGTGAGTTTCCTTCAACATAGACATGAGGATTTGACAATCACATTCCCAGCTTCTAAGGAGAGGAATATCACTCCACCCAAACAAGCTGATTAATTCAGATCCTTCATTATAAACAGTTAAAAAAATATGGTGCTTTCTTTAATCGAAAAATGTCTAAATGTTGGGTTGGTGAGATAGTATCATGGTTAAGTCACTTGCCTTGCGCATGGTCAACCCGGGTTCAATCCCTGGGACTTCATATAGTCCCCTGAGTTCTGCCAGGAATGATCCCTGAGCAGTAGGCCAGAACTTAGTCCTGAGCAGACAGATGTGGCAAGAAAAAAAAAAAAAAAGCAAAGCAAAACCAAAATGCTCAAATGTGCCTCACTACATTTGGTTTTCTGTGTGCTTAAGTTTAGGAACACAAAATCTTAGCAGAAAGCAATTTACATATATATGAAGTCTAACCTTGGGAATAAATTTATCACAACACATGTGCAAAAGTCCCTCAGATCAATAGTTTTTATTCTCTGCTATTTGTACACACAGAAATTTTACACCAATAGAATGCTACAGGAAATCTTTTATTTAATGGAACATCTTTTAGTTATAAAGCTACCTACCCAAAACTTTACCAACGTTCCTCTTAATTTGTATTACCATGTAAACACATGTTTTTATACACACGCATACAAAATAACATATATTAATGATGGCATAGGGGAAAGATAGGTGGCATGTGTTCAGAGGCAGAAAACAAAGCAATTACTATTCCTACGACAACCTCAAAATAAATTCCATCCAGGGTCAGTTCCTCATTTTAAAAAGAGGACAAAAACATTCTTTTTCTTGCTCAGTCATTACCAGAATGACCGCGATATTCACTTGTGCAATCTAGGCTTCCTTCTCTCATCAGTCACCCTTTTGCCTTTGCAGCTATGCAATCTTTTAAATGCCAACACCTTAAAAACTTTGCCAGCCAAGAGAAAACACAAATTCACCATGAAGTTTCAAACCTAAGCTTCCCATTCCAGTCTGTGCACTCCTAACAGGACAGACAAAAACCCAGCACCAATAAGCAGCAGTGAATAAGGACCCAACTGTGCTGATCTGATTTAATTTACTGCACTGGCCCCATGGAGCATTTAGCTATCTTTTAAGAATGCTTAAACCACCATGAAAAGCTGCAATGGGAATCACCAAACCACTCTCCACCTGGAGGAACATACCACAGTGGTTATGGGGTGAAATTCCAGGGTGAGTTGAGAAATAGAGTAGCATTCACCAGACTGAAAGCACCATGTCTCAAAGGCATTTGGCTGTTAAGCTTTTTGTAGGGAGAGGTGGAGGGGGAGAGAATAAAAGATAATGAGACACTTTGGGGCAGACCAAACTGATGATTCTAATGCTTAGAACCATCTGCCAAGCATATTTTCCTCATTATGTTGTTTACACAAATAAAATAGTCCCTTGCTAGGAGGGTTGAAAAATGTGTGGGAACATAAGAAAACTGAGTTCTTTAGTTTGTCTACAAAAATTCTAGGCAATAAAAACTACTCTAAAGAAATTTATTCATCTGGCAAAATAAAGACCAAGAGGTATTTACTTGGCTCTTTAACTCTGGACCTAGGCTAATTTAAGTCTGAGTAACCATGGGAGGGAAGGAGGGAGGGAAGGAACTTTTGTTTTCTAAAAATTAAATGCAGAAAAAAAGAGAAGTTGTTTTATTGATTCATGTATGTTAACATACATACACCTAACAGAACGCAGCAAGGGAGGGGTGGGGGGTAGTGGGGCAGACAACTTCCAAAGTTCTTCCTTAATAGTCTTTTGTTTAAAAGACTTCTTAATTTCTTTAAGTTGTCATGCCAATGGATTTTCATGGTCAGGCTAATTGGCAGCAGGAGGGGTGGGATGTGAGTGTGATTTCATAAAATTAAGCAGGTCATTCCTCACTTTGAAAGCTAAAGTTGCCTGGGAAACGCTGCTGCTTCCAAGGTCATCTAATTTTGCCTCTTTTGTCCCAGAGGATTCAGCTTTAGGAGGCATCATTTATTTACAGGCCTTTCCACTGGGCTTCAGTGATCAGCCAATAATACTGTGGACACACACTTCTAATGGCCTATGTTTTGAAACTGAGTCTAATCTAATGGCGTGGGGCCCAAACTCCTTTTCCAGCATAGCCATTAAAGGATGTAGGTTATTGCTGTTGTCACCATTGATATTTGTCATTGTAATGTAATTAGGGCCCTAAAATGATGCATTACAGCCCTTGGCACAGCTTCTATTAAAATCTTTTCTTCTGCTCACTGAACTGCGACCTGCTTTCTGATGAATAACAGACAGACAGCTTTAGGGTAAGGAGCAGATTCATCAAAGAAGTATTTTTCAGCTTTGGGGAAAGAGGTTTGAGAAAAAAGGCAACCTAGGAAGAAAAGCACTAAGGGAGGAAAGCCACAAAACACATTTGAATTCCATCTGACCACTTGAAATTCTGATTGCGTGTGATGAATCTTGCTTAGACAATATATTCCCAGCCTTCGAATCACATGGTTAATCAGAGCTCTAATCTGCTATCCATCAGTCCATGCTAGTGCTGTAGCTTCCAATCAAATTTATAGGTGATGTGGCTCATGCATCTCTGAGCAAGTACATTCACAGATAGCCTATTTAAGCAGGCAGGGATTCTCAAATACTGCAATAGGGTTACTGGATAGAAGCATGATATCTGATGCTTTATGAACATTGCTAACTACTGTCGTCAGATGCCCCTAATATTCCAAGATAGCACTCGCGGCTTCAACAAAAGGAAAACTGTACAGGTCAAAACGTAAGCCCCCAAAGTTGTTTTCGGTGTTTGTCAAATACACCCACAGATTCTTCACATCTTAATACATTTTCTCCACCCATCAAGAGAGTCACATAAAAAAAAAAAAGTTCCACATATAAAATGATCTTATCTACAAATTACTACCATTCTATTTCTTAATTCCATGATTTCATATTTTTATGCTGTCCTCTAAAGGAAGGGGGGAGAGAGAGCCAATTAAAAAAGGAGGAGCAGTCTTGCTCAGAAAAAAAAGTCAAAAGCATCTTTGTGTAAACAACAATAACTCAATAAACACAGCATTCCATGACGGTGCTTGGGCTATATACATCTGACACCTGAAATATGGGCACCAGGAAGCTAAGGTCCTGTGTGGAGGGCTGCGGACTGATGACATGACTGGCCTATACTGAGACACAAACACCCGCATAGGCTTTCAGGCCTGTCTCTTCACTTTCCAGATTAAAAAGCATCAACTTCTAAAGCAGATTACCAAATACATATTTTATTTGTAGCACTGTCCTCCTGTTGTTCATTGATTTGCTCAAGCAGGCACCAGTAACGTCTTCATTGTGAGACCTGTTGTTACTGTTTTTGGCATATCGAATACACCACAGGGAGCTTGCCAGGCTCTGCCGTGCGGGCGGGATACTCTCAGTAGCTTGCTGGGCTCTCCGAGAGGGACGGAGGAATCGAACCCGGGTCAGCCGCGTGCAAGGCAAAGGCCCTACTCGCTGTGCTATTGCTCCAGCCCTTATAATAATACTAGTATGTACTATCAAGAAGCCCTTCTGACACTATTTCATGATCTTTTCTCCATTTCTCCACATAACGCTAAGTCTGCTTCAGTGAGACTTCTTTTTTTTAATTTTTTTTTATTTTATTTTTTTATCATTTTTTTATTAGTGAAACACCATGAGGTAAATTTCACTAGCCAGCCGTTTAAGATAAAAAATAAACATTCCCCTCAAATAGTCTTAATAATCTCTTTTTTAAATGTAAAATACTTCACTTTGAGTTCCTTAAAAAAAAAAAAGAAAAAGAAAAAATAAACATAAACAGGAACAAAAGCAAATAGCTTTTTTCAGTAATCAAAGCAACCGTGTAAGTGCCAAAGAGAGAGTGGTTACTGGTGATGGCACTTGCCTTGCATGCAACTGACCCCGGACTGAGCCCCTGGCACTGTCTCCTGATCCCCCTGAGGAGTGGCCCCTGACCATCACTGGGTATGGCCCAGAAGCAAAGTAAAATGGAATTGTTTTAAAAATATTCATGGGGGTTTTTAGTCTCATCAAAATAAGAACAATACAGGGTTGGAGAGAGAGTGCAGTGTGTTAAGTGCTTGTGTGCACATGGCCGACTGGGATTTCATTCCAACATCCCATATAGTCCCGAAGGGTCAGGTGTAATTCCTGCATGGAGAGCCAGGAGTAACCCCTGACAATCACTGGATGTGGCCCAAAAAACAAAAAATTAAATTTTAAAAAGAACAATACTACACAGTATTTAATAAAACAGGGAAAAAAAGATTATTAGTATTTTGGCAGCTGGGCAAAAAATATAATTCAAGCAATTATAGTTTCAGGAAAATATTGACAGTAACACTGTAGCACTGTCCTCCCGTTGTTCACCGATTTTCTTGAGAGGGTCCAGGAACGTCTCCATTGTGAGACTTGTTGTTACTGTGTTTGGCATATCGAATACGTCACAGGGAGCTTGCCAGGCTTTGCCGTGCGGGATTCTTGATAGTAACATTTAAA